AAATATCAGAACTTACATGGCCTCTTTTTTTCCTACCCGCACTTCTCAAAGTAGCAGCTTCTAATCAGGTAAGTTTTCATTACCTCTCAAAATTACAGAGACCATTTAATTTTATGGATGATTTCTGTAGGTAAACAGCTTTTGAGTATTATCTTGAGTAATCTTTAATGTTTGAATACAATATTATTATCCTAGATAAAGACATTTCCCCTATTGTTTTTGGCAATTCACCTCTTGTAGTCTGTGAATACGTTAAGTTCCACATTCAGTAAAGAGAACATAGTATATAGAAGGAAATACTGGATTTATTCTTGTCCCTGCTTAATTAACTGCACAGATAATTTCATTTGGAGCATTATCTTTTGTCTATAACATGAAAGAGTTGGACCATATGAAGATTTTCCCAACTGGAAGAAACTAGTTTTCATTTCTCACAAGTTTTTTGATTCCTTTATGTCTTCTCACTACCAGTACTTGCTTACTGTAAACTTCCTCAGTAAAATAAAGAAAGAGGAGGCTACAGTACTCCTATTGACTTTGCATTGGGAGTTCTAATATTTTTTTTCCAGGACATAAAAGAGGCATGTGATACAGAGTAAAGTAAGTCAGAAAGAGAAAAACAAATACCGTATGCTAACACATATATATGGAATCTAAAAAAAAAAAAATGATTATGAAGAACCTAGGGGCAGGATGGGAATAAAGATGCAGACCTACTAGAGAATGGACTTGAGGATATGCAGACGGGGAAGGGTAAACTGGGACAAAGTGAGAGAGCGGCATGGACATATATACACTACCAAACATAAAATAGATAGCTAGTGGGAAGCAGCCGCATAGCACAGGTAGATCAGCTCGGTGCTTTGTGACCACCTAGAGGGGTGGGATAGGGAGGGTGGGAGGGAGAGAGATGCAAGAGGGAAGAGATATGGGGACATATGTATATGTATAACTGATTCACTTTGTTATAAAGCAGAAACTAACATGCCATTGTAAAGCAAATATACTCCAATAAAGATGTTTAAAAAAAAAGGCTAAAAAAAAAAAAAAAGAGGCGTGTGAATGGCAAGTGACTTCCAGGTCAATGCAGTAATACTGTGGGTTTACTGGTAGATCTCAGTGTACTGTTTGGAGCCTTGGACTAAATCGTTTTTAAGGTTCCCTCTGACTCTAGTTCTAACATGTGTCTAAAAGACATGGCATTGTTGAACAGATATTAATTAAAAGATCAGAAATAACCTATTCTTGCAAGTAATTTTAAGGCTACATTTATGTTAGGTACTGGAATCTTGAGACCCCTCTCCCCCGCAGCCGTTGTTAAAGACCAGCTAAGATATTAGCTGAAGGAGAATTCTTAAATTTGTCATGCTGACACTTTCCCAGTGCTTATCTACTTTTTTTGTCCTCTGAAAAAGACAGCATTTATGCTATCTCATTTGGAGGATTTGAAAGACATTCACAGTTGTTTACTCTTAATATTAGATGAGTGATGCTATCCCTCTTCAAGAGAAGATTTTTGGTTTTAGCATCTTCTTTCATATCTGGAAATTATAATTGCTTCATAATGTATTCATCAGAAGTGTGCTGTGAACAAAGCACCTAAAAAGGACAAAGCCTGAAAATATGTTTATGTTAAGGAGGAACTTCTGGCTTAATTAAATTAACCTTGTTAAATTGTCAGAAAGACACATGAGGCATATTTTTCAGTTTGTCATAAACTCTTCTGGGGGTGAAATTGTGAAATTACCTCGTGCTAAGATCTCTGTGCCCATGAATAACATCTAGAAATCTCAAAGCTTTTAATATACTGTCCGATATCCTTTTGAAGTGGGGAGAGGATGCTGTGGGGAAATGGAATAGCTGTTATTCCACAGGTAATAAATTTGGCAGAGCTAGAAATAGCCTGGTTTTCCTTCCAGCGCAATTTTCTGAATATTTGTCCCTTGGTACCTACCACTCGGACTGGCTACAGTTATACACAGGTACGTAGAGTACTTCCTTATGACCTTGCTTTGTAGTTGTAATTCCACTCCATGTATGTCTTTTTAGCCATTCATTCTCCACTCATCCCACCTAGTGGATTTGTAATGTAGTGTGTATCACTTCAGTACCAATAGAATGTATGTTTTATAGGAAGCTGTATACAAGTCTGGTGTGGTGGTCAGTGTAGTAATCTGTTCCACCCTTTGCCGCCTTCCCAGGGGACAGACACACTAGCAACTTTGGTGTATTCTTCCATTTCCTTGTTGATCAATGTGTCAATTGGACAGTTTGGTTGAGCAGCAGAATTCAGCCCACCACCATATAGGATTTACTTAATGCAGGTTATGTTATGACCCACACTTTGTTTTTGCTTAGATTCCATCCCTGTTCTGTGCCAAAACCACAAAATGGTGCATGTTAGAGCTGCATTCATTCACCTGGGTGCTTCAAGAGCACAGTCATTTGCATATGCTAGGTCTTGGGTAACTCTAGTACTTTCCATGACATTCTCATCTGTTAGAAATTCTCAGGATAGGAAGTATGATGTCTTCCAGTATCTGCTGTTTGGTCTTACCCTCTAACTTGAGTGTGGCAATACAGACAGTTTGAATAAGTCTGAACCTACTGGATAAACTTGGAATATTTGCTCATAGATGACCACGCTGCAAGTGATTTTAAAACCATTCTTTTGGGCTTCCCTGGTGGCGCAGTGGTTGAGAGTCCGCCTGCCGATGCAGGGGACATGGGTTCGTGCCCTGGTCCGGGAGGATCCCACATGCTGCGGAGCGGCTGGGCCCGTGAGCCATGGCCACTGAGCCTGCGCGTCCGGAGCCCGTGCTCCGCAACGGGAGAGGCCACAGCAGCGAGAGGCCCGCGTACCGCAAAAAAAACAAAAAACAAAAAACATTCTTTTGTATAGTACTTTATAGTCACCCTATTCTGAAGAATTATTCCCATTTTACAGATGAGGAAACTGGCCTAGACCAGTTAAAGAATCTTAATGAAACTTACATAGTCTTGTAACTTGCCAAACAAAAGTTCAAGTCCAGGTTGCCTACTATGTTATATTGTCAATAACTGTGGGAACTGAGAATCCAAGCAGTGTGACCCCCCCAAACCCATGATCCTTTTCTTCTTTGGCTCTTTGTGATATAAGAAGGGTTCTCTTTAATTAAAAAATATATTGACTAGGTATGTGGTTCAAAATTCAAGAAGATAAAGTGAAAAGTTTTATCCCTCACCATCCAGTTCCCTTAACCCGGAATCATTTACTTATCACTGTCTTATGTTTTCCCAGAGGTATTTTATTGCCTATACAAGCAAACACATACATATATTCCTTCTTTTTTAAAAACTAAAATGGAAGAATACTATACACATCGTGCTGTACCTTGCTTTTGCACTAAATATATTTTAGAGATTGTTCAGTAGCAGTCCATAGAGAACTTTGTCATCTTTGGTACTGCTGCCTAGTTTTCCATTGAATGGATGTATAACATTCATGGATATTTAAGTTGTTTCCAATATTTTGTTATTATAAACAAGGTTGCATGACTAATTTTATATATATACAAAATTTTATAATATATATAGTTTATAAAATTGTATAGCCTATAATTAGATATGTACACATAAAATTAATTTCTTGAGGATACATAGTATTGAGGATAAGTTGAATTCTTGCTTTAAATTGTGCATTTATGATTTAAATTGTATCCTCAAGTTGCCTTCCACAGAGGTACCAATTTATGTTTCTACCAGCAGTGTACTGAGAATGACTGTTTCCCCTCAATCTCAACAAAACAAGTGTGTTCTCAAACTTGTGGATCTTTACTAATCTGGTGGGTGAAAAATGTTATTTTAATGTACTTTTAGAAAATAAACTATTTTTTAAGAGAAGTTTTAGATTCACAGAAAAGTTGCATAGTACAGAGTTCTGTATTCCTCCACTCAGTTTTATTTAGTGTTAACATCTTAAATAACTCTGGTATATTTGTCACAGCTAATGATAGATGTGATAATGATAATGATAGATAGATTATTAACTAAAGTGCATAATTTATTGATATTTCCATATTTTTTTACCTAGGGCCCTTTTCTGTCCCAGGATCCCACATTACATTTGGTCATCATGTCTCCTTTGATTCTTTTGTGACAGATGCTCAGACTTTCCATGTTTTTGATGACCTTGACAGTTTTGAGGAGTACACATCAGGTATTTTATAGTCAGTGTACTTTGAAATTTACATGTCACTTGTGAGATTAAACATCTTTCTTTTCATGTACTTAAGGACATTTGTATTTCCATTTCCGGGAACTAGGAGCCCATTCTCTTAACCACTGTGTTCTACCACTCTCTTGATTCATTGTAATTATCAATAAAAACATTCATGGGCCTGAATACACGTGGGTTTCTGATTCTCAGGATAGGAAGTACAATGTCTTAGCCTCTGTTAGAGACAGAGGAGAACCATTTGTGCTAGTGATGTGGTCAAACTTGAGTCTGATCACTCTGGTAACACTGCAGAGGATGAACCAGAGGCTCGACTGGAAACAGCAGGTAGGTGGGATGCAGGATAAGAAGTCCTTGAAAGCAGAAGCAGGGTTGATAGGGACACATTTGAGGGAAATTAGAGGGGCCAGGATTTGGTGATACTGGATGAGAGAGTCAAGAAGTCAAAGGCGACTCCTAGGCTTATGAGCTGGATATTTTGGATGTTATCTTTAACCTATACAAGAAATCCAAGAGAAATACTTGAACAATTCACAATATACCGGTTGCTCAGTACGTACTCTGGGTTCCTAGCTATGCGAGACTACAATTCCCAGAGCCCTGCGCTCCACCACAATCCCCTTAGAGTCGGCCGCGCAGAGTTCTGGGACTCGAAGTCCGCGGCCTATTTACCCAAGTTAGAGCTAGGGGCCTGTGGAAACATGAAGAGGTAAGGGCTTGTCTGAGAGCAGACGGCGAAGGGAGGTCTGTTCTATCTTTTAACTCTTCAAGTGGCTTTTGTTACTTTGGGTTTGGGGTTATGTCACGTTCTGGGGACGCGGTTTCGTGTAAGCTGGAAGACAAAGGAGGAGGGAAAAGGGGAGACGGGCTGGACAGGCCTGTAGGGCGAAGTTCAGGAAGGGCCGCCGCTGCTGCCGGCCCCCGTAGGCATGTCCTCCCGGCACAGGCACCTAGGCAACGGCGCCGGCCCCGGGACGGATGCTGTGACTCCTTCCTATTTCAGACGGACCCACCCAGGTAAAAGGGTCTTGGCCGCTTGATGAAACCGGCCTGCGCCGGAGAAACGCGGGCCAGCTCCTCCCTGTCCCGCCCTACCTCCACCCCGTTCTCAGAAAGGGGCCCAGGGTGGGCGCGTTTATTCGCAGTGTTTGTGTGTTAAAGAGGACTTTCTCGGGCTCAGAGACCATGTTGCATTTTCAGGTCTTAAAGTAAGCAAGTGATACTTTGTTGCTACAAATTTAGAAGCAGGGTGCCAAACCGGTTCCACGTACTGTAAGAAAAGAAAGGCACCGCTGCGAGCGGTTCCCCCTACTGGTTCTGCAGGAAATGGCAGCTTTAACGTGGCTGGTCTTTGTTGAAAGCCTGAGCTTACAATTATTGACAGTACACAAAGCCTTTTTAAAGGATCCTCATTAAATTAGTTTTGTATTCATTCTGCAAGTAGAATAATCACTCTGGAATAGAGCGCTGCATTTAAATTCTTACTGGTATAATGCTCTCCTGCACTGTCAGTTTCTGCATCTTTTTCAAAAAAAGTTTGATTTTCCTTGCCTCAAAATGACTTTTAAAAAATGTTTATGATATCTTTCATACATGCAAAATAATGTATATATACAGGTTAAGGAATAATAATAGACTCGTACTCACTACAGGCTTTAGAAACAGAACATTACCAGTATCAGTAGCATGGATGCTGTATCATTTGATAACAGCAGTATCATCGATACAGTATTCATAGAACATTACCAGTATCAGAAGTCCCTTGTGTGCCCTTCCCTGAGTGCTTCTCTTCCCTCCCTGAGGGGATCACTAGCCAGCATTTTGCGTTAATCATTCCCTTGCTTTTTTCTTTTTAAATAGTTTTATCACATACGAATTTATATCTAAACAAAGTGTTGCTAGTGTTATACAATTTTCAACGCTACGCAGACACATATTACATGAATTTTTCTGTGACTTGCTTTTTTTCACTCCACATTTCTTTTTGAAATTCATGTGTACTGATGTATTTAGCTATGGTTTATTCATTTCAAAGCCACTTTAAACTTAACAGGAACTTTCAGAATTCTAAACAATAAGTAACGATTAAAATACTGAAAAGGAATTTTTGAAAACCCTGGGCCTATGGATACTTTAAAATTTCCCGAAGTTGGTATAAGTCTGTCTAAAGTATGGGAATCTTGCTTATAATTATGGGAGATACATCTTTTACGTCTCATCATAACCCCAGTAGTAAAGGGCTACTTTTTAAGAAAGGTATTTAATATTTATTTTCGTCATGGGATTAACTCACTTTGTTTCTGTCTTTTATAATCATTTGTTGCACACTTAAATGGTCCTGCTATTTCTTTACACTCAGAGTTTTTCATTATTTAGGGTTAGTTAGCTCATATTAGCATTACCTAGATTTCTACACAGTAGTGCTTAAGCTGTAAAATGTTATGACCCCCTTGATCTTTGTTTCTATACTCCCTTCTTTGGTAATCTTCTCCTCTCTCACAGCTCCAGATCCTGACAACACAGATGACTAAAGATTTCCGTATGCAGCCTCAGACTCTTATCTATGCAACAGTTCTGCTATCACTTTCCTTTTAGCCAGTATCACATTGTCACCTCAGACTCAGTATGTCTTTGGAGCATTCCTGATACTTCATGTTGGTATTTCAATTGTAATAGGTAGTTGACTCAACACGGCTAACACAATAATGACTTCCCTTTCCCAAACCATTTAGTCCATCTGGAACTTCCTCTTTAGTTCATTGGTCCCATTTCTCAGTTACACAGCTTGAAATTCAGGGTTATCTTTCACTTCTCCCTTACCCCTACCTTCAAAAGGCCTTTCTCATCTAACCCTTCCTTTCAATTTCTATTACCACTCCAGTTTGTACTTTCATCACCTTATGCTTGATAAATTATAGTTTCCTAACTAGTTCTTCTGGTTTCTTTCTTACTATTCCATACTATTCCATAAGGCTTATTATAACCACATTCATTTTCCTAAACCATCGCTTGTACCATGTCACTTAACTATCTAATAAATTGCTTTCTACTACGTGTACATTAAGGTCCAGACCTCTTAGTTGGTGTATTTAAGGCCATTCACAATCTGAGTCTAATTACCCTTCCGACATGATCTCCCAAGGCTCCCATACATGAATGCCAGCTAAATTGAACTTCTTATTATCCCCCAGAACATATTTCTGTCTCTTCATACTCGTTCTCTCTGTTCTTTCCTTCATCATACTCAATCCTTCAAATGCCAGTGTAAGAATTACCTTTCCCAAGTCTTCATTTACTACCTTGCCTCCCAATTATCTTTCTTCTGTGAACTACTGATTTGGCATATGCTTCATAAAGAAGATATAAAAGATATAAAATCTTTCTTCCTCTCTCTCTCCCTCTGTCCCTCTCTCTCTCCCTGTCCTTTTCCCTCTCCCTCTCTCTCCCTCCCTCCCTCCCTCCCTCCCTCTCCCTCTCTCTCCCCCTCTTCCCCTCTGCCCCGCACATGCACTCAACACATACGTATCTGTTACCTTTCCCTAAATAAATTGCAAGTTTTTTGATGATAAAGACTCTGTCTTGAATATCTTTGACTCCATCAGTACCTAGCACAGTGCATTCATTGTGTGTAAACAGGTATTTAGTTAATGTTCGTGGAATGAATGATAAAGGACAACAAATAGAGAAGTGTCTTTGAACAAATGGGATCACTAATGGTAAATAATATAGATAAAGAATATATTTTGAGATTAACTGTCTCTTCTACTTTCCACATATATTCTTGTATCTATTCCAGGGTAAATAGCTGTGTGAAGAGTGATGAGCATGTCCTGGAGGAGCTGGAAACAGAAGGGGAGAGGCAGCTGAAAAGCCTCCTTCAGCATCAACTTGATACCAGTGTCTCCATTGAGGAGTAGGTATTGGTTTTGCAAACAGACTATCATAGACCCTCACCTCCAGGTGACAGACGCCTCTTAAAGTCTGGATGTAACACTCCTCTCCCAGCCCGCTTTCCTTGGCAAACTTCTACTTATTAGGCAGCGTTTTACTTCTGTGTCTCTTCCTCTAGGAAGCCTCTCATATCCCACTCCGTCTGGGCTAAGTACCTTTCCTGTATCTTCCTTTAACATACATAGCACTTATAATCCAGTATTATCATTGCCTGTTTACTTGCCTCTCTTCTACAGTTCTTCCACAAAAGCAGAAACTGTTTTTATCTTTTTTACTGTTTAATCCTCAGTACCTGGCACAGTCTCTGATGTGTAGTAGGTACCCAATAAATAAATATTTGATTCAGTCATTAGTCCTGGATTATTGGTGGAGTTCCATATCATTACAGTGGTGCTTTAGCCTAGAAATAGTATGTGAGAGAGAAATTGCCACTGAGTTTCATTGTGCCTCTTAATGGCGAGCCCCATTTCTGTGAATTGTGGTAACTTGAAGATGTTCTTACTCTCTTCCTGCTTGTTTTGCAGATGTGTATCTAAGAAAGAGAGCTTTGCTCCTGGTACTATGTACAAGCCCTTTGGGAAGGAAGCAGCTGGGACTATGACTTTGTCCCAGTTCCAGACACTGCATGAGAAGGACCAGGAGACTGCTTCTCTCAGGGAACTAGGGCTTAGTGAGACAGAAATCTTGATTTGGAAGAGCCATGTTTCAGGTGAAAAGGTGAGTGGGGCAAATTTTTTCTGGAGAACAAAAAGTAAGATCTTTTCATTTTGGTACTGGGAACCTTTTCATTTTTAGTTCTCACAACACTGAGCTTTGTGTCTGAATCTTTTTTGGTTTTTAGGATAGGGACCTTGGTAAAAGAGAAGCTGCTCCTTGACTTTTTTTTTTTTTGCGGTACACGGGCCTCTCACTGTTGTGGCTTCTCCCGTTGCGGAGCACAGGCTCCAGACGTGCAGGCTCAGCGGCCATGGCTCACGGGCCCAGCCGCTCCGTGGCATGTGGGATCTTCCCAGACCGGGGCATAAACCTGTGTCCCCTGCATCGGCAGGCGGACTCTCAATCACTGCGCCACCAGGGAAGCCCCTGCTTCTTGACTTTTTTTCCCCTAAACAAATGGGATTTTATTTTATTTTTTTTAATTTTATTTATTTATTTTTGGCTGTGCCACGTGGCTTGTGAGATCTCATTTCCCTGACCAGATGTTGAACCCGTGCCCTCGGCAGTGAAAGTGCAGAGTCCCAACCACTGGAGCGCAGGGTATTCCTGCTCCTTGACTTCTTAGCTAACATGTCTGTAAATGACCATTTCTGGGCCCTGATCATTTTCTTTCTTGTTTAAGGCATCAGATTGTCACTTTTAGGGTGTGTCCTCTGTGATATATGCCATCTCATTTCTCTTATTTCAGAGGGCGAGACTTAGGGCAACCCCTGAAGCGATACAGAACCGTCTTCAAGATATTGAGGAAAGAATCTCAGAGCGTCAGCGCATCCTTTGCCTGCCACAGAGATTTGCAAAGAGCAAACAGCTGACCCGGCGAGAAATGGAAATAGAAAATTCTTTATTTCAGGGAGCTGATCGTCACTCCTTCCTCAAGGCTCTTTATTACCAAGGTATGTGATCGCCACTGACTTGATATGTTCTTTCACTGACAGGAAGATTTAACATCAGGGCATTAACTATGAAGAGTTAGTGAAGGGAGTAGGGGAAAGATGAACTATTGCTACTCTTGAGGAATGTATAGTCCCTTGAGAAAGACAAATATGTACCTAGTTAATTGCAGTACAACATGAAAATTGCTATTGTAGAGACGTGAATAAAATGCTGAGGGGACACAGGGATAGAACATCTAAGTCTAACTGGGGGAGTCAGGAGTTGACATTTGTACCAAGTCTTGACTGATCAACAGGCACTTGGCAGGTAAATAGTGGGGAGAGGGCATTACAGATAGTGGGTGAGTAGGAATAGGATTGTGAAAGAACCTGGTGTGTCTAGGGAACAGTGAAAAGTTCAGTGTGGCAGGAAGTATAGGACACAGTGAGGACTGACAGGAGATGACGCTGGAAAGGTAGGTGAGGCTAGATTGTGAAGGGTCTTTAGGTAGAACTATAAACTAGCACAAAATATATAGATAAATGGTGTGTGTCTTAACCAGAAAGAATGGGTTTAACAGGTAAGTTTTGCTAGGCACTGTGGAAGGTATGCAGAAGTTTAAGAAATGGTTCCTGACTTTGTGCCAATTGCTGGTTGGAGAGAGAAACATATAACATTTAGTAACAATGCTAGATACAGTTGTTAAGGGCTGTAGGAGTTCAGAGGAGGGAAAGGCCACTGTGCATTGACTGGCATTACTGAACATGGCCTCTCAGAGGAGGTAAAATTTAAATGTTCTAATAATACCACCAAGTCTTCAGGAGAGGGAAAGGCATTTCACTAGCAGCAGTTGTCGCAAGCACTATGGCATGTTTGGAGTTGTCGTGAGAGACAAGGTTAGAAAGGAAGCTAAAATTTTTGAACTTTATTTGGCAGGTAGTATAGACCTATACAGAGTTCGTTATTCAGTTAGTCATTTTGGATATGGTTAAAGGTCTTTGAGCCAGGGGTAACATGATAAAAGCAGTATTTGAAAGTGATTAATCTAGTGGCCAGTAAGTAGGATGCACGAAAGGGAGAACTGGAAGCAGGGAGAACAATTTAGGAGGCATTACAGTCATTTCAGCAGGAAGAGCTGACTGGGATGATGGCAATGGAATTGGAAAGAGAAGTAGGTATGATTATAAGAGACATTACAAAAGAAGAATTGGTAAAACTTGTTGACTGAGAATGAAGGTCAGTGGAGAGAAATGTGTCAAAGATAGCCCAGGTGCTTCAACGCTGTGTAATTTAATAGTCGGCAAAATTAAGGAAGCCTTTATGGGGAAATTTTGAGGAAAGATGATGAGTTTGATTTTAAACGTGTTAAATTTGTGAGACCGCAGGATCATCAAATGCAGATATCGAGGAGGCTGTTGGAAATGCAGCAGTGAAGCTCAGGGGAGAGGGCACAACTAGATCCATAGAATTGGGGCTCATCTATGCTTAGACCATAGGTAAAGCCAACAGAATGAATGAATGATTTGTTAGAGACAGAGAGACCATAGACATGGAAGAGCAGTGGTGAAGGAAGGAAAGAAAGAATGAACAAACAGCCTTTGGTGGAGAGACATTATAGCATACTGATTAAGAACATGGGCTCTGGAGGCAGACTGCTGGGAACATCCTGGCTCCCCCCGCTTACTAGCTATAAGATGTTGGCAAGTTACCGCTCTATGCTTCATTTTCTTCATGAGAATATTAATGAGAATATTAATAGTAGCTATGTTTTAGGGTTGTTAGGAGAATTAAGAGAGGTAATACATGTGAATCACTTAAAGCAGTACCTGGTATTTGGGGTGGGTGGGTGGTATATGAATCTGTTCTGTTTCCTATCTTTGAAACTCCTTGCTTTACACCTTCACAGCATACCACAAAAAGACAAGTGCAGACAAGTACATGACCTCAATGAAGAGGAAGATAAAATTAGGCACAAAAGGCAAGTCGAGAGTTTTCTTACAGTGTTAGATTTAGGAATGTAACCTAGGGTCCCAGACTTCTAAGTTGAGTTCTTATTTAATTCCATATTCAGTATATGACAATGTTTATAGGACATGATCCACAGGGAGCATATTATCCTGATACAGAATATTAAAGAGAGGAGTTAGTAGAAGTTGTAATAAAGCTTTTACATTTAGTGTTGTTGATATTTTTCTCTATACCTTTAAGTTATTATACCAGACATAAAATGACCTTAATGAATTTTAGATCCTATTTTGTAACTAATTCTGAATACTTTTATTAATCAGTAACGTATAACTATTGATGATGATATAATAGCTAATATTTTATTTTTGAAATGAACTTAAAATTGCCTGTTTATTTGGGGGGGGCTATGTGTACAATTCTGTGAATTGTAAATCGTGTAAATCACATAGATTCATGTAACCACCACCACAATCAGGATAGAGAACAGCTCTGTGGCCCTCAAACTTCCTCATACTATCCATTGATAGTCACTCCCAACTCCACCCATAATCCCTGGCAATCACTGATCTATTCTCCATCACTGTGATTTTGTCTTTTAGAGAACGTCATATGAATGGAATCATACAATATGTAATCTTTTGAGAGTGACTTCTTTCACTCAGCATAGTGCCTTTGAGATTCATCCAAGTTGTTGTGTTATCATTCATTTTGCCGAGTAGCATTCCATTGTATGAATGTTCCAAAGTTTGTCTATCCATTCACCCATTCAAGTGCATTTGGGCTGTTTCCAGGTTGTGGTGATTATGAATAATACTGATATGAATATTCTTGTACAGGCTTTTGTGTGAACATAAAATTTTTATTTCTCTAAGGTAAATATCTAGGAGTGGGATTACTGGGTCATATGGTAAGTGTTTGTTTAACTTTATAAGAAACTGCCAAACCATTTTCCAGAGTGGCTGAACCATTTTGCATTTTCACCAGCAATGTATGAGAGTTCCAGTTGCTCTACATCTTTGTCAGCATTTGGTATTGTTGGTATTTATTTTAGTTATTCTAATAGCTGTGAAGTCTTATCTCATTGTAGTTTTAATTTGCATTTCCTTAATGGCTAACGATGTTGAACATCTTTTCATATGCTTATTTGCCATCCTTATATCCTGTTGCTAAAGTGTCAGTTCAAATCTTTTGCTGTTTTTTAACTGAGTTGTTAATTTTTTCCTGATGACTCTTGAGAGTTGTTTATGTATTCTAAACACAATTCTCTGTTGGATATATGATTTGCAAATATTTTATCCCAGTGTGTAGCTTGCCTTTTCATTCTCTTAACAGTGTCTTTTGCAGAGCAAACTTTCTTTTATTGTGGTAAAATATACCTAACATAAAACTGACCATTTTAACTATTTTTTAAGTGTATTAAGTATATTCACATTGTTCTGCAACAATTGTAACCATCCATCTCCAGAACTTTTTCATCTTCCCAAATGGAAACTTTTTACCCATTAAACACTAACTCCCCATTCTCCCTTTCCCTCATCTCCTGCCAACCCCCATTCTGCTTTCTGTCTCTATGAATTTGAATACTCTAGGTACCTCATGTAAGTGGAATCATAACAGTGTCTTTTTGTGTCTGGCTTATTTCACTTAGCATAATGTCTTCAAGGTCATCTATGTTGTAGCATGTATCAGAATTTCCTTCCTTTGTAAGGCTAAACACTATTTCATTGTATGTATCTACCACATTTTGTTTATCCATTCATCTGTCAATAGACCCTTGTGTTGCTTCTACCTTTTGGCTATTGTGAATAATGTTGCTGTGAACCTGGATATACAACTATCTGTTCCAGTCCCTACCTTCAATTCTTTTGAATATATACACAGAAGTGAAATTGCTGGATCATATGGTAATTCTGTGTTTAATCCTTTGAGGAACCACCATACTGTTTATAGAGGCTATACCATTTTAAATTCATACCAGCAATGTACAAGGGTGTCTTTTGCCCATTTTTTAGATAAGTTGTTTGTTTGTTGTTGAGTTGCAGTTCTTTATGTATTCTGGATATTACTCCCTTATCAGATATATGATTTGCAAATATTTTCTTCGATTCTGTGGGTTGCCTTCTTAGTCTGTTGATAGTGTCCTTTGATGCACAAAAGTTTTTATTTTTGATGAAGTCCAATTTGTCAATTTTTTTCTGTTCCCTGTGCTTCTGGTGTTATATCCAATAAATCACTGTCAAATCTAATGTCATAAACCTTTTTTCCTATATTATCTTCAGAGAGTTTTATAGTTTTAGCTCTTATGTTTAGGTCTTTGATCCATTTTGAGTTAACTTTGTTTATGATATAAAGGGTCCAAATTCATTTTTGCATGTTTGATATCCAGTTTTTCCAGTACTACTTGTTGAAACGACTGCCTTTCCCCATTGAATGGTCCTAGCATACTCTCTGAAAATCATTTGACTGTAAATGAAAGAGTGTATTTCTAGGCTCTCCATTCTATTCCATTGGTATGTATGTCTGTCTTTATGCCAGTACCACACTGTTTTAACTACTGTAGATTTGTAGTAAGCTTTGAAATCAGGAAGTGTAAGACCTCCAACTTTGCTCTTCTTTTTCAAGATTGTTTTAACTGTTTGGGTCCCTTGAGATTCCATATGAATTTTAGGATGGATTTTTCTTTTTCTTTTTCGGCCATGCTGGGCAGCTTGTGGGATCTTAGTTCCCCGACCAAGGATCCAACCCAGGCCCACGGCAGTGAAAGCACTAAGTCTTAACCACTGGACCACCAGGGAATTCCTGGATTTTTCTATTTCTGCAAAAAACGTCATTGGTATTTTGATAGGATTGTTTTGAATTTGTAGATCACTTTGGGCAGTACTGACATCTTAACAATATTAAGTCTTCAATCCATGAACACGGAATGTCTTTGCATTTATTTCATTTATTTGTATCTTTAATTTCTTTCAGCAACATATTGTAGTTTTCAGTGTACAAATTTTTTTGCATTAATGCAAATATTTTAAATTTTGATACAGTCCAGTTTACGCATTTTTTCTTTCATGGGTTGTGCTTTTTTTATGTCTAAGAACTCTGTCTAATACCAGATTATGAAAAAGGATTTATTCCTTTACTTTCTCTTTTTTTAAACCTTATTTTTTATTTTTATTTAAAATTTTTGGCTGCATTGGGTCTTCGTTGCTGCACATGGGCTTTCTCTAGTTGCGGCGAGCAGTGGCTACTCTTCATTGCAGTGCGCGGCCTTCTCATTGCGGTGGCTTCTCTTGTTGCAGAGCAGGGCTCTAGGCATGCGGGCTTCAGTAGTTGCAGCACGTGGTAGTTGTGGCTCACGGGCTCTAGAGCGTGGGCTCAGTAGTTGTGGTACACGGGCTTAGTTGCTCTGCAGCATGTGGGATCTTCCTGGACCAGGGCTTGAACCCATGTCCCCTGCATTGGCAGGCAGATTCTTAACCACGGCGCCACCAGGGAAGCCCTATTCCTTTATTTTCTTCTAACAGTTTTATGGTTGTATATTTTACATTTAGATCTATGATCCACTTTGACTTACTTTTTACATAAGGTGTGAGGTTTATGTTAAAGTTCACTTTTTTGCTTATGAATGTCCAATTATTCCAGTACCAATTGTTGAAAAGAGTATTCTTTCTTCATTTACTTGTCTTTACATTTTTGTCAGAAGTCAGTTGACCATATATTTGTGTTAATAATTAACATCATAGTTAATGGTGAAAGACTGAAATCTTCCTTCCAATACCAGGAATAAGACAAAGATGTCTACTCTCACCACTTCTATTTACAGTGGAATGAAATTAGAAATCAATAATAGAAGGACGTTTAGGAAATTTACAAATATGTGGAAATTATACAACACTCTACTGAATAACCAAGGGATCAAAAAGAAGTTAAAAGGGACATTAGAAAATACTTTGAGATGAATGAAAAAAAATAACAAAACTTAAGGAATGCAGTAGAAGCAGTACTTAAGGGGCTATCTAAAGCTGTAAATGCCCATATTAATAAAGGAGAAAAGTCTCAAATTTATAATCAAAACTTCCACCTTAAGAAACTACAAAACTTTGTCCAAACCCACAGAATATACAATACCAAGAGTAAATGGTAATGTAAACTATAGACTTGGGGTGATTATGATGTGTCAGTGTAGGTTCATCATTTATAACAAATGTCCCACTCAGGTGAGAGATACTGATAATGAGGGAGGCTGAGCATGTGTGGGGGCAGGGGAGCATGTGGGAAATCTCTGTAACTTCCCCTCAATTTTGCTGTGAACCTACAGCTTCTCTAAAAAAATAAAGTTTAATGAAAACAAAACTACAAAAAGAGGAGCAGACTAAACCCACATCAAGCTTAAGGAAGGAAATAATAAAGATTAGAGCAAAAATAAATGAAAAAAAGAATTAAAAAATAGAGAAAATCAAGAAAACCAAAAGTTGGTTCTGTGGAAAGATCAACAGAATTCACAGTCCTTTAGCTAGACTTACCAAGGAAAAAAGGGAGACTCAAATTTCTTGTACCCTGTTCTACTTTGATTCTTTTTTGCATGGAATATCTTTTTCCATCCTTTTACTTTCAACCTTTTTTTTTTTAAACAAAACAAACCAAAAAAAAGTGTGTCTCCTGTAGACAGCAAATAGTTAGATCATGTTTTCTTTTTTAAATCATTTTTTAATCCATTCTTCCAATTATGTAGAGTGTTAATTTATATTTAATGCATTTAAGTGGAGTCTGTTGTTAAGGTAGGATTTACATCTGCCATTTTGCGATTTATTTTCCGTATGTCTTGTATCTTTTGTTCCTCTATTATTCAGTTTATTCCTTCACGTTAAATAAGTTTTTACAGTATGTCATTTTAATTAACTTGTTGCTTCTGTTACTTTCTGTTACTCTTTTAGTAATTGCCCTGGGAATTATAATTAACACCTTAGCTTAAACAAATTTGTATTAAAGTGCCAACTTAATTTCAATAATATTAAA